AAGCTTTACTTTCTTGTGCTTTAAGAAACAAAACAAACATTTCAGATTCTTAAGAGCTTTAAAACGCAATGCATACCCATTTGGATACACATTTCCACCAACAGGAAAAATCGTAGTTGCAGTAAAAACATCGTTGACTTTTACAGGGTTGACCAGTTCTTGATCAATTGATGAATCCACAAAGATTTCATTCTCTAAACCCAAAAATTGAGCTAAATTCCTCTCAGGGATCTCACGACGACGAGCACTCAATTTGTGATACACAGGGAAAACAAACGACGTCGTTTCACGGCGATTGTTCTGCTCATCACGATCACTCTCATCAGAAGAAGAAACCCTAAACATCTGAACAGAATTAGGGAAAACAGAGCCGTAGAAAGCAACCGCGAGTAACGATAAACCGAGAAGACACAGAACTAATCTCGGCGAATTCATGGAGAGATCCGAGAACCAGAGGTTTTGGTGAAGTGGGTCGGGTTGAAAACTCGGGTTTGGGTTTTGTTCTTCGGGTTGGATTTCGTGATCAGTGAGGGTAAAAGCAGAGATTGTTTTGCCTTTTGATGGATCATCGGATGGTGGGAGAGTGATTATGACTACACTGTGGACTCGTTGTTGTTCCTGGTTATGAAGATCTGGCTCCATTCTGGGTTTCTCCGATCGAAATCTCGCGACTTTATCGTTTTTCTGGGATTTGATTTCGATCGGGGAAGAATAATGTATACTAAGAGTGGTCAAGAGTCAAGAGGCGTTGTATACAAGACAATGAGGGAAGCATGGAAGATGCGAGGAAACGAGAGGTTTTTATCTTAAATATTTGAAATTTTTAACATTTTTCATAAAGTATATTTTATCTGATAAAAAGGGGAAAGATAAATATAATGAAATATGAAAAATATTTAAATATTGTTTGATCTAGTGTATAAATAATAAAAAATTTCAGGATCAAATTATTATGACAATATAATTTTGTAAACGAGTTGTATGTTTTCAGAAAATAATGGTAAGAAAAAAATACAGATTTGTAAAATTATTGTTTTTAATTTTTAGTGGTATGTAAATGTCTAAGTTATCAATAAAAATTAATTTTGTGTTTCATTCCACAAATTTTTTGTACATTTTTGTCATATATGCAAATACTAATTTCGTTATTTGTCGTTTATCTCTTTTTTTTGGTTAATTTTTTAATTTTTG